AAATTCCTCCGGGAAAATCTCAGGAAACCACAGCATGGTACAGGAGTGGAATGCAGGAGAACACGGCGAGTAGAACCCTGGTAGCCTCAACAACCAACTGACAAAGACAGGACGAGGTAACAAACAATATATCGGACATCCTCATTCAAAACAGCTGGCGCTGATCAGCTCATCAGCCGCGCCTGCCCTCGCGCTCACTCACACAACACGCACACACATAGCGAGGGCGAATCAGGGACTCTTTTCCGGTTCCTCACGCGGTCAGATTCTCTTTTCCTTTTCCAAGTCTCTTCCGACCGCGTTTTCTTTGCTTTTTCCATCGTCAAGTATCACGTCTGAAATGCGCGCAAGTGTCTTCGTGCTTCATATGTGGTTGTTGATGTGTGTGACGTTGTTGCCGTAAAGCAAGTCGTGATTCTCGCGAGATTTGTTGGGGGCGCTCCTCTCAAACTTGCATTGCTGGTTTTTCCAGCGGCGACCCCGCCAAGCTTTATTACCAGGATGATTCGCCCTACTATGAGTTTGTTTACCACCGAAATGACTTTGAAGCTGTTATATCAAGGTACAATTCTTGCACAGTGTGCCTTTAATGTGACAGTAGTCTTTTTTTTACAGTCAAAACTTTATAATCTATCCAAAACTAATCACAAAATCTTGTCTAAACATTCATATTTAGTCTATAACATATTGTGTATGATATATTAGCATGCACATGTTAATTTGCAGTTTGTTGCTTATACAGACATTTTATTTCAACATATTTCAGTCTATTTTTACTCATCTTAGTAGGCTATAGCAATATAGTTTGGATGTGTTCATATAAAAATAACATTTACTAATGTAGGTGTGAGAGTGAATGAACGGCACAGACACACGCTGTATAACTGTAGCAAACAAAGCGCGCGCGTGCCGTTCATTCATCATTTAGCCTACACACAGACACGCAATTCATATTTAAACAGTCTTTTTGCGGTTTACAGACACTATCCAATATCGCGATTAGAACAAAGCACTTAAGAATAAATAACTTACTACATCAGCTGGATTCGTTGCTCCTCGAAATGAAACTACCAGCACTTCTGGTACATTTTCCAGGGTTATTAGATAGTATTATTCCTCACAGGTAGCAAGACGAGGTAAAGTACAAGTTTTTATCAAACATGATGTGTTTTATAAACCAGCTGGTGGGCGTTGGCAAGTTTGAATGGCTTGCCTTAGAATAGATCATTTGCATTTGAATACCGCGCGCTCTCCGTGGGGGTGTCACATTAGCAGAATAATGAGCTGAGAGAGAACGATAATGAGATCGGCTGACACCTCTTTCTTTTTTTATAGATTACATAAACAGAGAATATTTATTTTAGTTTTGAATTAGATATTTTAAAAGTACAAACTTAAATGATTATAAAAATATATTGCTCATGCTTGGGTGAATAGTACTCGCTGAGTGAGACGTGCTCCAGAAAAAAGGTTAACGGAGATGGAGAGACACCCTGAAAGCACACCCTGTTTATTTTCTTTATTTTACAAAAGCACAATGTTTTATTTCGATTGTAAGTGGACACATAAAAAAATAGACATACAACAGTTTATTTTTTATATATTTCTGAAGTCTGAATGACCAAAAATGACAGAGTATTTTAAGTCTATTTTCCTGCTATGTGAAAAAAATCGAGCAAAACGCGCCGGCGCGTTTCTGGACCCCAGAGGGTTAAAATAGTCCAAGTGACTACAGTGGCTCAATCTTAAATTTATCAAGAGACGAGAATACTTTTTGTGCGCAAAAACAAACAAAAATAACGACTTTATTTCAACTATTCATTTTCTTCTCTTTGGGCCTCTAGTCAGTTAACCCTCTGGAGACCAGAAACGCGCCGGCGCGTTTTGCTCGTTTTTTTTTCACATAGCAGAAAAATAGACTTAAAGTACTACCATCATTTCTGTTCATATAGAGTTAAGGAATATGAAAAAATAATCTGGTAAATGTCTACTTTTTTATGTGCCCACATACAATCGAAATAAAATATTGTGCTTTTGTAAAATAAAGAAAATAAACAGGGTGTGAGTTCTGCCTCTCGGTCACCGTGAACTTTTTTTCTGGAGCACGTCTCTAATCTTCAACACAACTCAGCTAATACTATTCACCCAGCCATAAGCAATATATCTTTTAAATCATTTGAGTTTGTACTTTTAAATGATCCGATTCAAAACTAAAATTAATATTCTCCGTTTATGTCATCTATATAAAAAGAGAGACGTGTCAGCCCGTCTCATTATCGTTCTCGAGCTGATTATCTCTGGTAATGTGACACGCCCATTCAAACGCAAATATGTGAAGCAACACATTGAGACGCGTTAACGCCCATAAACTCTGAAAACACACATTATTTTTTAGTCAGATTAATCTACTGTCGTCTTGCGCGGCTACATCACGCGCTGCGCGTAGGGCACCAAGTGCTTGGGGGGGCACCAAGAAATCTGGGTCGTGAAAAATCATCACAATAGGCTACTAGTATAAATAACAAATAAAATATGTCTAAAGCATGTTAATATACAAAAGCAATACAAAAGTAATATAGGCCTAGACCAAATTAGTCGAGAAAAAGGTGAATCTCCTTTTTCGTCTCCCTCTGGTGCCCCCCCCCCCCTTCCCCACCTCCCAGTGGTCTGTTCGATTATGCCTCAATCAATGTCAAATTTGGCAGACACCGACCTCAGACATGGAATACTATTCACCCAGCCATAAGCAATATATCTTTTAAATCATTTGAGTTTGTACTTTTAAATGATCCGATTCAAAACTAAAATTAATATTCTCCGTTTATGTCATCTATATAAAAAGAGAGACGTGTCAGCCCGTCTCATTATCGTTCTCGAGCTGATTATCTCTGGTAATGTGACACGCCCATTCAAACGCAAATATGTGAAGCAACACATTGAGACGCGTTAACGCCCATAAACTCTGAAAACACACATTATTTTTTTGTCAGATTAATCTACTGTCGTCTTGCGCGGCTACATCACGCGCTGCGCGTAGGGCACCAAGTGCTTGGGGGGGCACCAAGAAATCTGGGTCGTGAAAAATCATCACAATAGGCTACTAGTATAAATAACAAATAAAATATGTCTAAAGCATGTTAATATACAAAAGCAATACAAAAGTAATATAGGCCTAGACCAAATTAGTCGAGAAAAAGGTGAATCTCCTTTTTCGTCTCCCTCTGGTGCCCCCCCCCCCCCTTCCCCACCTCCCAGTGGTCTGTTCGATTATGCCTCAATCAATGTCAAATTTGGCAGACACCGACCTCAGACATGGCCTCGGAAAGGCACCAAGAGTCGGGGGCGGAAAAAGAAGAGACAGCGGGATGATACTCGCGCGTCGCTTGCAGGTAAGACAATGTTTTAAATAAAAATGTTAGTTTTGTAGCGCGGGCGCCCTTGCGTCGTGTATGCATGTCCAGGGGGGCGTCGCTAGTAGTGCAAATGAAATGATCCGGGGCTTTTTTTAGCCCTGCATGTTGAATCTTTTATTTTAACGGGGGTCCTGGGGTTTCTCCCCCGGAAAATTTTGAAACTTGGGCTGTTTAAGATGCAGGTAGTTTGTTTGAGAAGAAAAGGAAGACCGCTTAGATACGTTTTTTCGTTGTTGTTTTATGCGGATAATGCGTTCATTTTCAAGAGGTTCATAGGCCAAGGCCCAAGGGCGACATCTGTTGGTGAAACTGCAATTAGAAAAAAAAAAAAAAGCCACAATCTCAGTGTTTGTATATTTTCATATTCACAGAGTTGTCAAATAATTAGGGCTGGGAAAAGATTAATTGCATCCAAAATAAAAGTTTGTGTCTACATGATATATGTGTGTGTACTGTGTATAATTATTTTGTATAATCACCAACCACCAAGCATTTGTGCTTAGGGCACCCAAATGGCTAGCGCCGGCCCTGCTTCCCAGGATCCCGCTTGTCTCCTCACCTGAACTCACTCCCTCATTATCCACCTGTTCCTCGTCATCATCATCTGTGTCACCTGTCTTCACCTCGTTAGTGTTCATTTGTACTTGTATTTAGTCTCCTTCTGCTCAGTTAGTCCTTGTCGGTTCTCGTCTGTAAATGTTGCTGTGTTTTGTGTGTATTTACCTTCTGCCCGTCAACCTGCCTGGACCTGTTTGTTGTTTTTGGATTTTGAGTAAATCTTTGAATTGTAGCTTTTTGCCTCAGCCTCTGTCTTTATCTGCACCACACCCGTGACACCTGCGGTCTGGGTAAAAAAAAAATAACCCAGCACACGTTTTATTGATGCTGTTAATGTACTTGCCGTTAAATACTATTATTTGATTTAGACTGTTTAATTTCCATTCACTTCCTAAATTACCTATATATAATTCAATTTATTTAGCCTAAGTCAAATGTATAAATTACATTTGCTTGAAATGGAAATGACCCATAATGAGCTAAAACTAGCCCAGTTTTTAGTCAGTGTGAGCAGAATATGGGTTAAATTGTGCAACCCAACCCAGCATTTCTTATATCCAATATTTACCCAGCAAGGTGCTGGGTTTCCAAATGGGTTGTTTTAAACCCAGACATTTTTGGAGTGTAGAAACTGTAGAATGGGTTTGCCAAAGACAATGATTTCTTGTTACAGTATAATTGATTAATCTGAAACGATAACCTCAATGTTAGAATTTTGCGTGAGCATGTGTGAGAGAAATCATTTAAGATATGTTAACAAAGAGCAGTATGGAATACTAGGAATAGGTAATATTTGCATAATCATCAAAATGCATCTGGGGAAGTACTGGGAGGGAGACAAAGCGCTTTTCCACAAACTAATTCTGCTTGTTTTCACAAATGAGCCCAAACCCTGTTTAAGATTCCCTTTTCTTAGTAACTGTCATAGTTCCTTGGGGAAGTCACAAAGAGTCCTAAACCAACCCCTTTCTGACCAGACATAAAAGAAACCGAAGCATTACTTCTGTATAGTTATATTCAGTTCCTGACACAGGATGAATCAGCAGGTCTCCGTCGTTCTTTTTTTCATTTCTCTCACTGGAGGTACAGAAAACAGCAAGTATTGAAATTTATTATTTGTTAATCATACTGTAGAGCGCTAACTCAATGTCTCTCTCTGTCTGTAAGGTTATTCTCTCAAGTGTTACTCCTGCACATCTCTGTCAGGTTCCTGTGAAGTAAAAGAGCAGACATGTCCAGGTGGAGTTTCTCAATGTTCAAGCACTACGGGGGAACAATCCATCGGTAAGTGGAAATCTAAGTGAAACCGCTGGAGAGAAAGTATATTTGGAATTGTTTTTTTTAAATCTTATTATATGGACATTTATGTCTTTTTTACAGGTTCCTCTAAGGTGTCCGTCATAATTAAAGGGTGCTCATCTGAATGTGTACCAGGGACTCTAACACTACCAGCTGGAGGGACAGGGACTATGAGCTGCTGCAACACTGATCTTTGCAATGCCGCAGGTATTTCCCTTTGTTTGATCATGCGCTAGCAGTTTGATTTCATCCACAGTAACCTTAAAATGAGGAAATTATACAAACAATAAATCAATATGAATAAGTGATTGTTAATAAGCAGCACAATATAAAAAATTGTCAAAAATAGTGTTAAAGCTATAGCAACATGAAAAGAAGAAGCTTATAAATTAGTCTAGTACTTTCAGAGTTTTTATTGTTTTTAAAAAACTGTGAGAAATTGATCAACAATGAACAAGCAGTTTTCATAACTACTATTGTCAATATTATTATTATTGTAACCTCCAGGGGCCCTTATCACAACCAGACGCTCGCGGCTAAGCGATCGTAGGAATTTTAAATGTTCACCAGCAGGCTATCCCAATAAAGGGAAATAAAAAGGAAAGAGAGAGGGACTGGAGTATTGTAAAAATAGAAAATTTATTTTGTTATCTCAATAGACACACAGAAAACAGACATTCAGGCCTCTTGGTAACAGAGTCAGGGCCGGGGACAACAAAGTCAAGGATCAAGGTGTTGGGATAAATAAAAAAAATGCAACACTCAACACAAAATAAATAGGGCACGTCACAAAAATCACATGCACAAATATAACCCAAAAAAATTAATTCACATTCAGTAAACCAATAGTCACACAACAAAATTGTTATCCCCCCCCCCCCTACCCAGGATATTGCACCAACCCAATGGCCTAAGATACAAACATTACATATATCAACATGAAACATACAGCAACACACGAGGTAGAGACTGATAGAGTTTAGACCTTTCTCCCACACACACTCGAACACACACGCACAGCTGAATCCTAAAAAACAAAAGCACAGGAAAAACAGTGGCCAGGATAGCATGTGGCGCTCCTCCTGTATGAACAAACCACAGCGTCAAGCCAAAAATTTGGTTATTTATAATACTGTAGCGATCGCTTTACTCCATCTGATTTTTACTCGTACATTCCCAGACCAAGTTCTCAGCACAACAAACGCTCTCGGCAAACTTGTAGTAATCACTCCAAACTCGGAAGTCCTCGTTGAAACACGCCAACACAATTCGCAGCCGATGAGGGCTCGCGAAGATAGGGAACTAGCAGCAGCCACAGCACTGCGTAACCGCACAAACATTTACATTTACATTTAGTCATTTAGCAGACGCTTTTATCCAAAGCGACTTACAACTGAGGACTAAACCAAGCGAGTCATCGTGAAGAGGCAAAAGCAACGCAAGAAGTGCTCAAAATACAAAGTTCAGACATAGCTCGGAGTAGCATAAGCCAGGCAAGCGAGGATTTAGAGGAAAGGGTTTTTTTTTTTTTTTTTTATTTTTTTTTTATGTTAAGTGCTCCCGGAAGAGATGAGTTTTCAGTTGTCTTTTGAATGTTGTCAGGGATTCTGCATTCCGGATGAGGGTGGGGAGATCATTCCACCAGCATGGAACCGTGAATGTTCTGGAGAGTGATTTTGTGCCCCGCTGTGATGGTACCACGAGCCGTCGCTCATTGACCGATCGTAGGCTTCTGGTAGGGATGTAGACTTGTAGTAGTGAGTGGAAGTAGGAGGGAGCTGAACCTGTGGTCAATCTGTAAGCAAGCGTCAAAGCCTTGAACTTGATGCGAGCAGCGAGTGGTAGCCAGTGCAGAGAGATGAGCAGAGGAGTGACGTGGGCCCTTTTGGGCTCGTTGAAGACAAGACGAGCTGCAGCATTCTGGATCATTTGTAGAGGTTTAGTTGCACATGATGGAAGTCCAGCCAGAAGAGCATTGCAGCAATCAAGCCTAGAAATGACCAGGGCCTGGACGAGAAGTTGTGTTGCATGCTCAGTTAGGAAAGGCCTGATCTTCCTGATGTTGTGCATAGCAAACCTGCATGATCGAGCTGTCTTTGTAATGTGGTCTGTGAAGGTCAGCTGATCATCAAAGATTACTCCAAGATTTCTGACCGACCCCGATGGGGTGATTGAGGATGAATCTAGCTGGATAGTGAGGTCGTGCTGTAGAGACGGATTGGCAGGGAGGACGAGAAGCTCAGTCTTTGCCAGGTTGAGCTGCAGGTCATGTTCCTTCATCCATGCCGAGATGTCCGCCAGACAGCTTGAGATCCGTACAGCTACTGTGGGATCATCTGGTTGAAATGAGAGGTAGAGCTGGGTGTCATCAGCATAGCAATGGTAAGAGAAACCATGTGCCTGTATGATAGGTCCCAGTGATGTGGTGTAAATGGAGAAGAGGAGCGGTCCGAGAACTGAACCCTGAGGAACGCCTGTGGTCAGTTGATGTGCTTTGGATACCTCACCTCTCCATGTGACCTTGAAGGACCTACCTGTGAGATAGGACTCAAACCAGTTGAGGGAGGTTCCAGTGATGCCCAGTGATGAGAGGGCGGACAAGAGGATCTGATGATTCACAGTGTCGAAGGCAGCAGACAGGTCCAGTAGAATGAGAACTGATGATTTGGAAGCAGCTTTTGCGATCCGCAGGGCTTCCGTGACCGACAGCAGTGCAGTCTCAGTTGAATGTCCTTTCTTGAAGCCAGATTGGTTGACATCCAGGTGGTTGTTCAGAGACAGGAAGGATGATACTTGGTTAAAAGCAACTCGTTCAAGTGTTTTCGCAATGAATGGTAGGAGAGAGACAGGTCTGTAGTTCTCTAGAAGTGATGTGTTTAATGTTGATTTTTTAAGCAGAGGAGTTACCCGAGCCTGCTTAAATGCTGTAGGGAAAATGCCAGTGTGGAGGGATGAGTTGAAAATGTGTGTGAGAGCTGGTAGAAGTGTGGGAGAGATGGCTTGTAGAAGGTGTGAGGGGATGGGGTCTAGAGGGCAGGTGGTAGGATGACTGGAGAGGAGAAGTTTAGATACTTCTTCCTCGGTTAGTGGAGTGAAGGAGGAGAGAAGGTTATTGGCTGTGGGAGAGGTTAGTCTGGGTTCCTGTGCTGAGAACTGACTGCTGATAGTTGTAGTTTTGTTAGTGAAGAAGTTAGCAAAATCATCAGCAGTTAAAGAGGAGGTGGGTGGTGGTGGAGGTGGACAGAGGAGAGAATTGAATGTCTTGAACAGTGAACGTGTGTTAGAGGCGCTGTTGATCTTGTTGTGGAAATATGAAGATTTTGCGGCGTGAACATCAACAGAGAAGGCAGAGAGCAGAGATTGATACCTACTGAGGTCAGATGTGTCTTTTGATTTGCGCCATTTCCTCTCCGCTGCCCTGAGCTTGGTCCGGTGTTCACGAAGAACCTCAGATAACCAGGGGTTAGAGGGAGTGGTGCGTGCTGGCCTAGAGGAGAGAGGGCAGATATTGTCTAAAGAAGAGGTTAGGATGGAGCATAAAGTATCCGTTGCAGTATTCACATCCAGAGATGAGAAATGTGAGGGTGAGGGAAGAGAAGATGACACAGCAGAGGAAAGATGGGATGGAGAAAGTGAGCGCAGGTTTCATCTGAAAGTAAATGGTGGGGAGGTTGGTGGAGCATGGGTAGTGAGTTGTAGATTGAAAGTAATGAGGAAATGATCTGGAACTTGGAGAGGTTTCACCAAAATGTTTTCTGTGATACAGTTGCGTGTGTAAACCAGGTCCAGTTGGTTGCCTGACTTGTGAGTACCGGTGGTGATGAGCCGTTTGAGATCGAAAGAGGCTAGGAGAGAGATGAAGTCTGTTGCATACGGCTTCGCTAGGTGAATGTTGAAATCGCCAAAGACTACAAGTGGGATGCCATCCTGAGGGAAAGAGGACAGCAACACATCCAGCTCTTCTACAAAGCTTCCCAGTTGACCTGGGGGGCGATAAATAACTACAATATGGATCTTCATGGGAGTTGTAAGTGTAATTGCATGATATTCAAATGAGTTGTTATTGCATAGAGAAGAGAGAGGTGAATATTTCCAATTGTTAGAAATGAGAAGACCAGTGCCGACTGGCGAGGGGTGTGAGAGAAAGAGAAGTTGTTAGAGAGAGCAGCAGGGGTTGCTGAGTCTTCTGGACGGATCCAGGTCTCAGTCAAGCCCAAGATATTAAGAGTAGAATGAAATGCAAAGGCTGGAATGAAGTCAGGTTTATTGACTGCTGATTGACAATTCCATAGACCCATAGAAAGAGTGAGAGGTGAGTGTGAGGATGAGAGAAAAGGGAGCAGATAAGCAGTATTGCGCTGCCTTCTGTGCGTGGTGAGAGAGCGTTGTCGAGAGACAACAGGAATGTGTTGAAAGCACATAATGATAATGGGAAATAAGATAAAGGTAGGAAAGGAAAGGGTGAAGAAGATACTTTAAGTGCCTTGCAGGTGTCCTTACTCGGTGGAGTCGCGCAGGTAGAGTCGCAGGTCTTTACCCGAGTCGGTCTTCACACGAGGAGGCTGAACACGAGAGCTGAATGCTTCCGCTGACGCTTCCGCGACAGCGCGCACACTACATAGAAATAATGCTATCAATCGTCTGAGTGAGGACAGCTGTGGTAGTCCTTGCAATTAGCACAGCGAAAGCAAATATCCCGACAATGGCCCAAATCGAAACTAGCTGTTATGAACAGCAATACTTAAGTGCTACAATAACAAACAGACTATAACCCTTAAGACGGCAGATATTCAAAATAGGAACGTGTCTAATTAAAGACCAGATGCAGGTCAAATTAAATTAAACACTAATTAAACACCAGATGCAGGTCAACTTGTACACCCAGCCAAGAGTCAAAGGAAGCAACAGTCTGTAGCAGCACTAATCCGGAAAACCGCCAGCTTGCTGGATTTAAAGGTGTAGCGCCAAACAGCCCCCACCTGATTTCAGTCAAGCCGCAATTCTCACTGACTACGCCCCACCTGCTACATTATTATAAGTAGTAATATCAAGTAGCAATATGTATTAGCAGTGGAGTGTAAATTAATACTAATTTCCTTCCTGTCTTGATTAGATGGTGTGTATAAGGGAAGCTTCCTCTTGCTGGTGTCTCCTCTGCTCTTCTACTTCCTGTTTCAGTGAGTCCAGCTGAACTTCAGATTTTACAGCAAAGACCATCAAACAAACTCAATATGATACACAATCTGAATAAAGCTTGTTAGTGGCTCTGCTGTTCTTTGGTTTAAGGAACTGAAAATATGTAACATTAAAAAATGATTGCATTAAAACTACCACATGAATTCTATTTGCATAAAGGAAAAGTTATTATACATAGAATGTTCTTTTTCCGTTTTAAAAAGTGTGATGAACGTCTGTAATAAAATTTGCTTATGTGTAATAAACATCTCTCTCAGTGAGTGACTGGAAATTTGTTTGACTTTTTGTTCAATTAGTAAGTGCAGGGCCGGCGCTAGCCATTTGGGTGCCCTAAGCACAAATGCTTGGTGGTGCCCCCCACCCAAGGAATAACAACCATTCAGAATTTCTTAGTCTGATGAAGCACAATATAATAATTCTGTACATAATTTGTAGGGCTGGGAAAAGATTAATCGTGATTAATCGCATCCAAAATAAAAGTTTGTGTCTACATGAATGATAAATGTGTGTGTACTGTGTAAAATTATTTTGTATATATAAATACACATTTGGATGTATGTATTTAAGAAATATTTATTTATATATAAAATATTTAAATGTATATATAATATAAATTATATATAAATATATACAGTATATACATGCAAATATTTCTTAAATATATGTGACCCGTTACAGGAACCAGGGACACAAGTCGGCAGCACAACTTGCGAGCAAAATGAGAAACAAGCGTTTTTTTTCAAAATTTGTGATTTCCGCTTTTTTGCAGAATCTGTTAGTTGAGATCATGAAGAAGCCTCTCCATGTTTGAGATAACAGTATTGGTATATTTAAAAGCGTACATTTTGAGGTTGAAATCGGCTTGTTTTTCTGGGATTCTAGCATGCAGTAGGGGCGTGTCTGTTGTCTGTGTGTATTTGCATACTGAATAGCCGCCCGCGCCTTTGCCCCCGCCCCCCAACAGCATGGCTACTTATTATGCAGCGCTCTGCTCCTGCTCTATCTCTGATATCAAAATTCAATGAAGATGGACGCCGCAAAGATGGTCGCAGACGAGCTGAACCGTGGCCGTTACAACGAAAATGTTTTGAAGTACTTCTTCGACAAGCCGGATGCTTATGAACACGCGTTCACTGATTCTGAAGACGATCTGAGCGACGATGAAAGTGGCATGATACGACTGAATAATATCCCTAATCTACAACTGAGCGAAGATGAAGACGAGGAAGAATGTATCGGACTGGCGTCAGACGAGTTAGACCGTAAGATATCAGAGGCTATATCGATAGTAACATTTGATGAGGATATAGATAGAGAAATGGGGAAAATCCGTAACTTTGACTGTAAATGTTACACGAGGAGAAAAGAGAACTCTCTGCATGGGAGACAGTCTTGTAGCCAGAAGCTTTCTCCAGACATTATGTACAACATACGGCTGGATTCTTTAGCTGCGGAAAAAGAGTGGCAGGACATGCGAATTATTGGACATTTAGAGGCAAACAGACGCACATTGCAAACTTCGGAGATGGTTACATCTACAAAGAAGACCCAGACAAAGAGAAAGTGTGCCCGAACGACTTATTTCATTGGAGGCAACGAGATCTGCAAGAATACTTTTCTGTTTCTTATGGGGTGAGTTTCCATAAACATCAAAGTTTGTCGTTTTTTGTTCATTCTAAGAACACGTACACGTTATCTCATGTTTAGTCCATGTTTAGACCTTCCAATACCTACCTATTGTTTTTAGCTAGCTCAGGACTGTTGTTTTAATTGTAACGTTAGCTGCTAATCGTTAGCATCATATCACTTGCCAAAACCCCCATTAGGCCTACTATAATGAGCTTTAAGATGATAATGTGAGCTTCTGCTATTAATTTGAATAATGCTTCAATTGCTTGAATTGACTGGTGATAATGACTTAACTTAGCCCACGTAAACCTGCCTGTTGTTCATTCTAAGAACACGTACACGTTATCTCATGTTTAGTCCATGTTTAGACCTTCCAATACCTACCTATTGTTTTTAGCTAGCTCAGGACTGTTGTTTTAATTGTAACGTTAGCTGCTAATCGTTAGCATCATATCACTTGCCAAAACCCCCATTAGGCCTACTATAATGAGCTTTAAGATGATAATGTGAGCTTCTGCTATTAATTTGAATAATGCTTCAATTGCTTGAATTGACTGGTGTTAATGACTTAACTTAGCCCACGTAAACCTGCCTGTTAGCATTCTTGAATTGATTGTGATGCTAATAATTTTAGCCAGTGGTGGAGGAAGTAATCGTAACGTAATCGTAAATGTATCAGATTAAATTCCTACTTAAGTAAAAGTATAAAGTATACGTAGCCGTAAAATGTGCGTAATAAGTCAAAAGTAAAAGTATTTATGAAGAGTTTAATGTACAGGATTTTTTTAATCCTTTGACTCAAACCAGGTCTAACCACTAACTGAGGTCTAAACCAGGTCTAAAACAAGACTAAACCAGGAAGTACAGATACAAACTCTAAAGTAAGTAAAAGTAAAAAGTATTCATCATAAAATTTACTTCAGTAAAGTAAAAGTACCTATAATGTGTACAATACATTTTGATATAGGTGACAAGATGCCTGTTAGCAAGACCATGATGTTAAACGTCTTTTTCTCCCCCCCAGCATTGGCAGAGACACCCTGGCTGATATAGTCAAACACTATGAGGAGAATGGGGCAAGACCACGTTTGAGGAAGAAGCACTCACTGCCACGTCCACCAGCCAGGTTCATCAGCCCTGAGGATATCAACAGAGTTGTGGACTTCATAAAAAACTATGCAGAAGACAATGCCATCATGCTGCCTGGCCGACAGCCTGGGCATAAGGATTGGCATGTGAAGTTGCTGCCAACTCATGTGTCCAAGGCCTCAGTGTGGCGTCTCTACGTGAAGTCTGCTAAGGAGCTTGGTATGTGTAAACATTGATTTAGAATTGAGTGCTTATAAAGTGAAATAATGTTATTTATTATTGCTACACTATTAGCAATTACAATACAATTAACCATAAGCAATATCTGTTTTTCAGGTGAGCGTGCAGTTTGTAAAACCAGCTTCAAAGCACTGTGGAACCGACTTCTCCCACACATCAAAAGTTGCCGGCCGCGCACAGATCTCTGCTGGCAGTGCCAAAGCAATAACGAGCAGCTGATACGAAGTGCAAACCTCCCAGATGATAGAAAGTCTGAAGCAGTAAAGAAGCAACAAGATCATCTTTCCCTTGTGCAGAAAGAGAGGGCTGTGTACAACGACATGACTGCTGCCTGCAGAAAGACTTGCTCTGGCTCTGACCTGTCTTTTGGACCATCCCTACCAGCAAGCAAGAAGATTAGGATGCATTACAGTTTTGATTTTGCTCAGCAGGTAATATTTCACACACATTTACTTCCCTTTACTTTATTAATGTCCCTTAAAGGGCGATTTGGTGCATGAGAATAAATAGTGCAAATGCAGAATAGCATCAATATAGTAAGTTTTATCTTTATTAGACAGTTATGAACAGATGCAAATTTAATTTAATCTAATCCAAGTTCCCTCTCTCCCTCTGTCTCCTACAGTTACACTTTCCCTCAAACCCTCTCCAGCCAGGACCAATGTACTTCCTGACCCCACGGAAATGTGGCCTATTTGGTGTTTCATGTGAAGGGCTGCAGAAACAGGTGAATTACCTGATTGATGAAGGCATGTCATCTACTAAGGGAAGCAATGAAGTCATCAGCTACATGCATCATTTCTTCGGCAACTTTGGAGTTGGAGAAACAGAGGTGGATCTTCATTGTGACAACTGCAGTGGGCAGAACAAGAACAACTTCATGCTCTGGTACCTTGCCTGGCGGGTTGGACACAAGCTTCACGATAAAATTGAAATCCACTTCCTTATTGCTGGCCACACCAAGTTTTCCTCTGACTGTGGCTTTGGACTCATCAAGCAAGCCTACATGAAGACAAGAGTCAACACTTTGGCAGACATCGCTGAGGTACTTTAACTTTACTTTGCTTTAATGACTTCAGTGCTGTTTTCTGTTCTGCTTCAATGAAACATTTAACTGAAGATCTTTTTTTTCTTCCTCTCTTCTCTTTTTTGTCATCAGGTTGTGGAAAACAGCTCTCCTGTGAGTCACCTCAATATCCCACAGCTTGTTGGAACGGCAGAGGGAAAAGTTTTAGTCCAGACCTTCGACTGGCAGCAGCATCTGACTCGCCACTTCCGTAGACTCCCACAGGTCAAGAGTTATCAGCACTTCAGGTAATTGAAACTTTCACATTGTGTACATACAATATAACATAGCAACAAGATACACATGACCGTTTTTTATAAGAAAATACTTTGCCATGTTTAAAATGTCTTATGTGCTTTTTCTGTCACAGCTTTGACGCCAAGAGACCAGGTGTGGTGCTTGCAAAAAGTCACCGTGATGCACAACCTGTCGAATATCAGCTACTGCGCGACGGAGCAGATCTGCCCCCTGTCGACGGTCTTCCTGTCCTGGCCCCACCTGGACTGAAAATTGACAGGCAGACCTATCTATATGAAAAAATAAGGCCATTCTGTGCTGACGAGGCAAGAGACATCACATGCCCAGCGCCAAGGTTCACAACACAGAAGAGTCCACAGAAGAGGATGCGAATGTAATTTCATTGGACTGTGTCACAAAGACCTTTTTTCTTGTTTACAACACCTGCAATGTCACTTTATCAACCAACCACCTGAATTTAGTTTTACATTCTTGTATGAAAAGCACTCTAAACAATGTGTGATTGATTTGATTATGGAAAATAAAAAAAGAATATATCAATCAACCAGTTTATTGCTTATTTTTTATCATTAGCAAAAGTTTGTGTTTCATGTTGCATGAGTACACCGAAGAAAATTCCTAGTCTCTAAAACCTTTCATTGACAATGGCAATAAAATCTATTCTGATTCATACTCCTATACTGTATGTATATAATTTATTAAAATGTTTAAGAAAAATATTGTCCTATGAAATGTATTTTATTCAGAAAATTTATGTTTCTTTTTATGATTTAATCCAAATATATTATCAAAAACGGTTGTAA